GAATTTGTGGCATTTTGTTGTTAGTGCTACATGGTAGAGAATCTTCACATGTGGGCACAGTTCTTCCTCTTTTTCTCAAACTGTTTGAAGGAATGTCTTACCTGCACTGAACTTCCCATTTTCGCCACAAATTGTAACAGCTTTCACTGAAGGATCTGTTTCTGCTCTTTTCAGTCCATCCTCTAATGCCTGGAGAACTGTCGAACTGAAATAAATTAGAGATTCAGTGGCTGACAACCAACTACATCACTTTTCCACCAACACAACGGGCTCAGTGAAAATAAGCAGTGAGTCCAGTAAGTCTGCCCTCCTGTTTGTCTTCTGCCATAACCTCTCTGCTGAATATTCATTAGTCTCCCTCTCACTTCAAGGGCAAGTGCCAAAATCCAACAAGCCAATCACTGCTGACCTGTGCCAAGAGGGGAAAAAAAGTATGCAACAGGATTTTGAACAGATGTGAAATTATTGATTTGAAAATATTATGTAGAAAAAAACCCACCAATTCTGTCACAGGAAGCAATCCAGTGCTTCTGTGCTTACAGTAGTTGTGTTATCAGCAGTTGCAAAATACCAACAGAAAGAGTCTGTTCCAGATGAAAAGGTTCTGGATTTTCCATAGGAAATTATTTACAAGCCCTTAGTGTCATAGCACTTACAGCAACACCCTCCTGCCAAAAGAAAGATTTGTCATCCAAGCTGCCCATGTTATCTGTATTAATACCACACAGTTGGTTTTGCCACGTGACACTCTACTTGCAAAAATATTTCTTCTCCCTTCATACAGCTTTCTCCCATGGAGAATTTCTTGTGGGATGAAGAGGAGATATCACCACTTCTGGAAGCTTCCTGTTGTCCTGCCCTGGAGCAACGTGCCTGCCCCAGGACATGTCACAGCCCAGTTGAGCTGCATTGCATGCAACGCACGCTGTAGCTGACACTAAAAAGATGTCATTTTCCATGAAGGAAATCACAGTAAAATGTATGATAGTAAAATTGTAAAAATATTCAGGACTATCACAACTTCAAACAGCTAGAGCATGAAAGAGACAAAAACTCACCCTCATTTGCATAAGTATTTCATTACTGTGCAACAGTATCATTCATGTAACAGTAACAATGAGAAATTCACTAGGTGCATTGCAATCAGCACTTAATTCCATGCTATGTAGTCAGCTCTGCCATGTGTACTGTTTTGACTGCAAAAGAAGCCATCCTGACGAGGTGCCTCAGTGCTATGTATCTCAGCAGCACGCTGGCTGGGTAAGCATGCTCCTCAGGGCAGGCTGTTCTTGTTCTTGAGGCTGACCACTCTGGGTTATTTCTCCCTTGCACAAAACTCAGTGATGTGCTGGGTTTGTAACAAGGCTTTTAAAACATCCTTTTTTTTTTTTTTTTTTGCAAGGATTGTAAACACAAATTTAAAGATAAAGGAAAGTAGCTTAAGGGAATCCTGGAAATTAACTTGGCCAGGCTGTAATCTAACAACAGAAAATGCTTTTTGTGTGTCGTGCTGGTCTGGTCCCTCCTCTCTGTATCTCCCCCAGCATCCACAGTCGCTGCATGAGGGATGCTCTGGTATGTATCTACATACCCTCATTTAGCATCCCTTACAAACCTGCTGCTCATGAATTTGTCTAATCTTTGATCCTGCCAACCCATCTGCCTCCACAGGCTCCTGTGGCATCAAGCTTTGTATGATCTCTTTAAAAACAATCTCCTACCAGTGTAATCAAATGCCCCTAGATCAGCTACCACAGGATTCTGTAATCAGAAATAGACCTCCAATTTATTTACCTTCTTTAGGATTTCATAAACCTTGCCCTTATTCTCCTACAGCCTTTCCCTTCCAACCCGGTGACTCCCAACCTCTTCAGCATGCTTTCTTAATGCTCTTGCCTCTCAGTTTTGGTTGTCCCCTTCCAGATTGTCCCTGTGTCCTGCAAATGCATAGTCCAGAACTACAGGCAGTACTTCAGAAGTCCTATAGGTTTTTTACCATAGAGGAATGGTGTCCTCTCTTTTGTTCTGTTCTCAGCATGTGTGCTGGTAACACCCAGCATTTCATGAGTTCTTTGGGCTTTCCAAGCACACTGAGCTGGTGATCTCAAAAATCTATCAGTGGTAAAGATCCCTTCCCTGAACTGTAACTGACAGCCTTCTTTTCTTTTTTTTCCCCTGCTTTTTCCCCGTATTGTTTTTAGCATGCTTTGCAATGCATTCTTTATATTTTTAATCCTCTTAATTTCCAGCTTACATCTCCCCTGTCATGTTTTACAGGCTTTCTTATTCACATCTGATTAAGCTTTCCACTTCTTAAAACCTTTTTCCTGAGTGTCCCACAAAGCCTTGCAGTGCCAGCAGCCCACCTCTGCTCACAGGCTATGGCTGATCCTTTCTCTTGTTAGTTTTATCTGTCTGTCCCCCAAACTTCCAGTTCCCTGCACATTCAAGTGCCTCCTCTCTAAGCTGTGGTCCCACAGATGATTAGGACTGCAGACCTCTGGAAGTTAAAACTTTGTAAACCACGAGAGAAAAAAAAAAAACAAAAACAAGTTTGGTACATGGCAGCTCTGTTAGTGGAGAGATGGATTAGCTTGAAAAGAGTCCATGTGGGAACCAAATTTGCTGCCAGCTTCACAAGTCGGCACATATTCCTCAGGAAAGCACTGCCTAGGAGGTACTGCACAGCAGCAGATGCTGTCAGACAGCAAAAAGCAAATTCCTACCCACCAGTGGCTTCTGAAGTGCTGATGGCTGGTGCGATGGAGTGGGAGCTGGGCTAATGGTGCTGAGCATCACGTCTAATGGGGAGAGAGAGGTGAGGCTGGAGCACAGCAGAGCAGGAAAAGCACATCAGCCTTTTAAAAAGCATCTGTGCCTGCTGTGAAATTAAACTGTCAGGACTGCAGGACATGGCCCCTGTCTGTAACTTTCCCTGCCTGCTGTCACTTACACAGACAGACATCTCAAACAGCAATCACAAACCTGCTCCCCTGCAGATGAATAACTAAAATATGCAAGAAGGTACACACAAGGATCACAGAGTGCTCTCTACCTTCCATAGCTATAGCCAGGTCTCAGCTCAAAGCTGCCATTACGAAACAACTGTTGATCCTGCTGAACCAGGTTTTACTCCAATTGCTAACCAAATGGCGCAAGCCTAGTTAAAGCTGAGCTCTGTGCAGCTGTCACACTTGCTCCTTGCAAATTCAGCAAGTCTTAGTAAATCAGGAGATAAATTAGAAGCCCTTAACATCCAGACTTTCCTTCTGTTACTGGCTACAGGTGAGTGGAAGAGCCTGCAACAGACTCCAGCTGCACATGTGCTGTGTTCGCTGCCTCAGCCTGCCAGCTGTTGGACTGATCTCATCTATCTATCCTGCTCCCTCCTATGTTGCAAGCTTAAGTTTCATGGCATCTTAACTGATTTAAACCCATGCTGTGCAGATTCCTGTTCTCACTCATGCCTTGCAATCATGCAAGGAGCAGATGCAGAGAGCTAGACTGGCTGAAAGCAGCTCCAAGAACCAGGTTGCTCACGCCAGCCCCACAAGCAGCAGCACAGCACAGCAGGGCTGTGAGAACCAGGTCCAGGTCACAGCAGTGTGCTGTGAAGTGCTTGCTGCCTTCCATGGTAGGGACAGAAGGTTTTATGGGCACAGCCTGGCTGTGTTCCAAGCCTGCTCTTGGCCAAAGGAGATCCAAGAGACATTCTGGGAGCCCTACACGTCCAGTTCATCAGTCAGGTTACTCCTAATTTGCTTTCTCATTCTAATTATCCAAGTATGTAAAAAGGGTCTTTCTGTGCTTTCAAACATTGCAGTGAAGGAGTGAGTGCAGGCAGCTGGAGCAACGCACCTTGCCACAGCAAGGGCAGCAGCTTGTGTTTCCCATTCATGCTCATACATGCCCCTCAGCCTCTTCTTAACAAACTTTCTGCTTTAGAAGTTGCGTGTGACTGCAGTGGATGTTTTGCCTTAGGAGAACAAATGGAGCGAGCACTATGGTCACTGTTACAGCATGGCTCCTCAACTGTGACTGCTTACAAGGCAAATTTCACAAACCAAACTACACGCGTATCCCTTCTGAAAGATGGAAAACCACAGAGGTGCGCAAGAACTTCTTTACGGTGAGGTGACGGAGCAGTGGAACAGGCTGCCCAGGGAGGTGGGGGAGTCTCCTGCTCTGGAGATGTTCAAGACCTGCCCGGATGCCTTCCTGTGCGACCTGCTGTAGGGAACCTGCTTTGGCAGGGGGGTTGGACTCGATGATCTCTGGAGGTCCCTTCCAGCCCCTACAATTCTGCGATTCTGTGAACTTCAGGGGCTCTGCTTGGCTGCCTGTCCCCAGCTGTTCTGAGATCACCTTCTTCATCAGGTGTAGCATCGGGAGGTCAGTGCCTTCATCATTTCTAAAGGCACGTGAGCGGCCTGCATTCTGACACCGGGGCTGGACATCGGTGCCTCCCGCTAAGCCATGCCCTCTGCTCACAGAGCCCTTTGCCCCAACCCCTGCACGCACTTGGTAGCACAGCTAAAGCCAATTTCCACCTGCAAATTGCACGGGAACTGAGAAATAGAAGAGCTGTGCTAACGCTGTGAGCTACTGCTGACACTTCGCGGTGTAAGTGACAAGGAACGTGCCAAGTTTGACGAGAGATTCCGAGGGAGATGGCAGAAAGCGCACGCCCGTGAACCTGGCATTTCTCCCGAGGGGAAAAAAAACCCTCTAGACGTTATAACAAGGAGCACAAATCACGAAGGAGCTCAGCGCAGTTATGGCAAAGCGATATCTAAGCTCTAAGCCTCGTGTTGTCGCTCTGCAGGAGCCACCCGAACTGACAAGCGCAGTGCCACGGCCGCACCCCTCGTGCCCTCAGAGGAAAGCCCGCAGTCCCGACAACCGAGCGGGGCCCCAGGCTCCCGGAGCCGGGACAGCAAACTCCCGGCCGTGCCGTTCCCGCCTCACAAAATGGCGGGCGGCGCCGCCGTTACCTCAGCGCGTTGACCGGCGGGTTGCGGAGCCGGATGACGGCCACGGCCGCGGCACCCCTCGCGTACTGCGCCATGCCGAGCGCTGCCTCTCTCCCCGCGTCTCTGCCCAGCGCCCGGCTCGCAGAGCAGCCTGCCCAGGCGGGGCGGGGCGGAACGGGACGGGGCACGGTACGGCACAAGGCTTGGTGACTGTCAGTGCAGCGTGCCCGCGCTCCGTGCGGTTGAATATAAACCAGCCATCAGGAGGGCTGGTCCTGCTGCAGTCTCTGCCGGACGCTAAAAAGCGGGGAAAGGTCCTCCTGAGGGAAGAGAGTTCCAGGCAGGTCAGGGAGCAGCCTGCCTATCTAAAGAGAGGCTGAGGGAAGGAAGGGGACGGACTCGTTAGCGGGATCTGTTGTGATAGGACAAGGGGAAAAGGGTTTCAAACTAAAAGACGGGAGATTTATGTTGGATATAAGGAAAAAGTCTCGTGCAATAAGGGTAGTGAAGGCTGGCCCAGGTTCTCGGGGGGCTGGTGGATGCACTTGGTACAAAGAGAACATCCCGAGTTCCACAAGGACCGTCTGTTGTTGGTGTGGCTAATCTTGTCTTTTAGGAGCATCTTGAACATCAGCATGTCTGCCAGAAGGGAGATTGTAAACTGTTGTTTAAAAAAAGGTGCATGAATGGGAGAGGTGGTTGAGGTCTCATGAGTGCTGGAGACCTCTCTCCAAGCACGTAGAAGTACTGTACCCAAATGTATTATAAGGGATGGCGTGGTGAGCTGTCTGGAGCACAGGTCTTATAAGGAGAGGCTGATGGAAGTGGAATGGTTCAGTCCAGAGAGGAGGAGGCTCAGGGAGATCTTCTTGCTCCCTATGGTTCCCTGAGTTGAGGTTGTGGTGAGGTGGAGGTTGGCCTCTTCTTCCTCACAACTAAGGCTAAAGGGAATGTCCTCGAGTTACACCAGGTAAGGTTCAGGTTAGATGATAGAAAAAATTTCCTCTCAGAAAGAATGGTTTGGCTCTGGAATGGATTGCCCAGGGAGCTGGTTGAGTCACTGTCCCTGGAAATACAAGAAACATTTAGATATACTGAGGGACATGGTTTAATGGGAAATACTGGTCATAGGTGGACTGGATGATCTTGGAGGTCTTTTCCAACCTTGGTGATTGTACGATTAGGTGGAAGGATCCCCTTCTGCATCTAGTGCTATATTAAAGAATGGCTGCATCTTAATACCACATTGGTCTTAAGGGTTTGTTTGGCAGCACATTGAGTCCAACCCCTGGCTCTGCACAGCACCACTGGAAAATGAGACCATGTGTCTGAGGGTGATGTCCAGATACTTCTTGAATTCTGGCAGCTTGGGGCTGTGCCCAGTGCCCTGCGAGCCTGTTCCTCTCAGTGAAGAAATCCTTCCTGATACCCCACCTTAATATGAGCTGTAATGAGATTGTTAAGGTTGCTCGTGTTCCTTGATGGAATACCATGAAGTTTGCTTGGATAATGGGAAGAGCTGTGTCTTTGCACCAAATAGAAAAAGGAAAATTCTACTTAGTCTTTGTACCAAGCAAATAAGGAGTGTTCTGTTAAGTCTTTGTACCAAATAAATAAGGATAATTCTGCTTGGAATCAGTTAATTGTGAAAGCGAGTGTTGAATATGTATGTACCTCCAAGAAAACCTCAGCACGTGTAATGCAAGTAATGTATACAAGCTGAAGATTTTTTGTGCAAGGTATGCATGAGAGGTGGAGTGCAGCCCCCATACATTCAGCACTGAAAATAAGGAGTGCTTGCTTTCTGACACTCCAGCTTGATTCTTAGGGAGTTTCATAACAGATTGACTTACAGCATCAGTTTGGCACCCCAGATGGGGTAAGCCTCGACAGTTCCTGAGTTCACAGAATATCATCTGGCACTGAAGTATTCTAGGGAGGGCCTTGATCCCCAGGCTGAAGAGCTCTCCTGACAAGACCACTGATTAGTGAGTATTAAAGCATTCTTTTATCATTATTTTATTTGGGTTGCCTGCCTGTCAGATGTAATGAAAGTTGCACAGTACAGTGCTAAGAACCCAAGTAAGGGGTTAAAACCCCTGGGGGATTAGAGTCCCCTGGTTTGGTTTAGTTTAGTTGCCTGCCCATCAGATGTAATGAAAGTTGTGCATGGTGGGGCTAGCAATTGAGGTGATGGTTCATGCCCCCTTTTGGTTTATTTTGGTTCCTTGCCTGCCAGATGTGATAAAGGTTGTGCAGGGTAGGGCTGAGAACTTGGGTAAGAGGTTAAAGTCTCCCCCCCCCCCCCAAGGTAAATATTAAATGTGATAATTGTCATTGAGTGTGCTTGTTTGGTTGCTGTTTGTGCTGTTACTGTGTGCTATTTGTTACTGTACAAAGAATTCACCCACGTGTGTCATTAAAATGGGCACTGGATAATGAGGGGATTTTGAAAAAGCCACCTTTGTGCTGCAGTTTAAATCATTGGAAGGAAATAGCTGGATCCCGTGATGGGGTTGTGTGGAAAAATGATTTAAGTACAGTGGGACTGCTCTGTGGCATCTCATCCCCCAGCCTGCATGTGTAGCCAGGCCTGTACCTTCCTAGTGCAGAATCCAGCACTTGCTCGTGTTAAACTCCATGCAGTTGGTGATTCCCCAGCTCTCTCATTTGCCTGGATCTCTGCAAGGCCTCTTTACCCTCGACACGGTCAACGGCTCCTCTCAGTTCAGTATCACCAGCAATCTTGCTCAAAACACCTCTTGTTCGTTTGTTATTGCAGCAGATCACCAGAATTCTTTTATTTGTAAGCAGTGTTGAAGACAAAACCAGGGATAAGGCCCTGCAAAAAAAACCCAAAAAACAGTGCATTTGGGGAGTTTACAAAAATGTTGTGAACTGCACCTTGGAGTTGTGGGAGATAACTGGTTGGTTTTTTATTAACCAGACCAAAATCAAAGATCACCCCAATTAGTTGTACTTCCTGTTTATAATTTAGAGCTCCAATTTACTTGTCCTTTAATAACATAATCACCATAGTTGTGGCACAGCAGGGACTTTCTGAGCTTGAATAAACACAGAAGAAAACAGTCTGTAGAAAGAGAAGGCTCAGCAACTTTATAGATTTGTGGAAAGGTTCCAATAAGTGCTAAAGGTTTTTTGCTGTAAGCAATACGTTCCTCTTAAACGTAAATAGATTTTGGTAACAAGAAAAGGAAGTTTAAGTTTATATGGCAGAGGAAATTAAAGTCTTCAGAGCTTTCTGTAAAGTGTTTAATCTGTACTTCACTGAGTTACTCAAGGACCAACTACAAGGACATGAGCTTAAACTCAAACGCCCGAACCAATGAAGGATGAACAGTGCATGGGCAGCCCCAGATTGGGCTTTTTCCCCCCTTTTTTCTTTTCTCTCACACCTTAGTTGTTTTCCATTTTCACAGCAGTTGGATCCAAGGCAATGGAGCTCGGCTATATCTGAGCACAGGCAGCTGTGGGAGGGTGGAGAGGTTGCAGAGCTGCTAGTACAGTTAACATTGACAAAATGTAATCGAGATGTATTTCTTTCTGCAAGCTTTTGAGAAATTCAGCAAGAACTTGTATAGTATCTAGAGCTTCCAAGGAGCAGGTTCTTGCCTCCAGATTTCCTGGCAGCATACACCTCCATGAAAAACAGCTGTTGACTATCAAACCAGGAGACGTGGTGACAGCTTTCTTAGCCCTAGGCCTGCCAAAAGAAGACATACCTTGCTAATAAATCTAGAGAGAAATTAAGCTAATACAATGTCTAAAACAGCTCATGTGTTGTTCATCCTCTGCAAGGGGACAGTCCTGATCTTATCTGTCTCTGCAACAGCCAGTGCCATTTCAGAAGAACCTGCAATTATGTGTAAAGAAGACTGAGTAACCAAAGCTTGCTTTTGGCAGGAGAAGGATGCACTGAGATAGTTGCAGACCTTCCTGTAAGTGTTATTACATTTTGTCATCCATTTGATTACTGTCTTTTGACTACGTGGTAGGGGATGATGCTCAGAAAATACACCATGTACTTGTTGCAATTCTGGAGAAATAAAAAGCTGCTCCAAAGAAGAATGCCAATGCCTTAGAGACCCCATTACTAGAAATGGAAATAAGGGATCTTCATCAAAGGACAGATTGAAATGAATATGAATGTTGTGCTCCGTCTGCCAGCCCCTCAGCATTTGCTGTGGTAGAAGGAAGAGAATCCTGCTTCCTCTTGAGCTGGAGCACCACAGATCTGGCAATTCTGCAGCCTCCTGGGACCAACAGCCTGCTGAATGCTGAAGTGCTGAATGATACAAACAAATGCTTTGCAGGAGGCTCATGTTAATATTTATTCCAGCATACTTGTGAACATTGGTACTTCAGAGGACATGGCTTCATTTGCTATAGACATGGAACAAAAATCACTGAAAAGTGCTTATTAGCCTGGTTGGTCAAAACTTCAATTTCTGAGCCCAAATGCATTTGAAAAGTAATGTAGTGCCAGCTGTAAGGAGCAGTGAATTTCTGCTGAAACTACTTCTGAGGAACATGGAAACTGCACTGTACAAGCTCGTGTGTTGTGGTAAAACTGCTCCACTGAGGAGGGCAGGAGCTCTGAAAATGTCTTGACAGCAGCTGATCTAAACAACAAGATCTAAATCCACACGTACTGCTGCTGAAATGGCTCAGAGGGCCTGCTGAATTCATCAGCCACTGCTTCCTGTGATCTTCTGTCTGGTACGCTGTCCTCTGCTCCTGGCTAGCACTTCTACCTGTGGTAAAAACAATACTTGTTAGCATCTGATCATCAAACGGTTTTCAAAGGCTCCTTTGGCCGAGTGCACCTTGATGTGACCTTTTCTGCTGACCGTAAGGTCCTTCTGTAAACTGTTTCCTAGAAGAGATCTGGAGCTCAGAGCCTGGGGCTGGTACATGGAGCTCTTTGAAAGGCACAGCTGGAGCAGGGCAGGGGTGGGAACTACATGTATACCGCAAGATACTGAGGGCTGTAAAACACTCTATCCTACAGTTTAAATTTCACTCTTTGACTGTACAGAGCTGAGTGTCTGTCCAGTGGGTCCCTGCTACTGCGTGCCCTTCCAGATGAGCAGCTTCTTCCTTCCGGACTGTGCCTGTGCAGTGTGGACAGCCCAGGACAGCACAGCTCATTGTCTTACAGAGGCTTTACTCTGCCCCATGGCTTCCTGAATCCAAAGCTTCACAATGCATCAAAGCTGTAATATGTAATATTTTTTAACAGTAAAGCCTGCAAAAAAAAAAGAAAAAAAAAAAAAAAAAAGCCATTCACATTTCCACATGCACACACCTGCTGTAACATATTTGTTAGCAACATACAAAGCTACAGAATTTTCTTTCAGGTTGGTGCTCCGGTCAGCATTTATTTCCCTCTGTACTGCTCTGCCCATACAAACCATTTTAGAATTTTACTTGTCTTAAATAAAAATCATCGTTTCATATTAAGGGTTCGGAGTTCTCGCTGCCAGAACAACCTATCTGTCAGTTGCTTTTAATAATCCAAGCCTCTTTCGTGGCTTTTAAGCTCTGATGTTTGCATGGTTTCAAAGCAACACCTCCTGGCGAGCTGTGGTACTGCTTCTGCAGGCTCAGACCTTGGGTTTATATCCCACAAAACAGCCCAGCGCAGCGACCTTCAGCAACAGCCCTTGTTGCTTAGCATGCAAAACGCCCCATGGTCGACTCAATGACTACATCTTCCACCGGTGAGAGAATAAAAATGGGGAATGTTTTGCAGATTTTCTTTTTTGTATGAGCAAACATAAGCACTCAGTGCTGTCGCGCAGATCCTGTTTCCTTTTTTTTGTACTATATGGGCTATTTACAGTGAGCAATATCACTAGAAACAGTGTAGGGCTTGATCCAAAGAACTGATGTCAGCAAACAGGAGATGTTTGCCCCCATCCCTCTGTACTGTAATATGGACTTCAGTAGCTATCTTTTCCTTCTGATTTTACTCAATTCTATAGCCCTACATAAGTCTGACAGGCAGAAAATTGAAGTGAGAATGGAAATTCAGAATATTTTCAGAAGACTAATCTAAAGTGTTAGTAACTCCTTCAGTGTATCTTAGTCCCTCAGCATTGAAGCAATGCCACTGCTGGTCTTTATGGACCAGCAAAAATACCATGAAGTGGAAGCATCATGGAAAAGCACTGATGAAGAAAATTAAGCAAGTTCCCTTATTTGATGTAGCTATGCACAGATTAATGCAGCGTTTTGCTGTAAGTGTGAAATCACAGTGAAACAATCCAGCCATTTGGAATAACTTGAGGAATCGGGCATGAAGAATGCCAGGCAATTTATACAGACAGAGATGCGATGTAAATACTCATATCCTTACTAGAAATAAAAACAATGCAAGGAATCGTAGAGAGCCATTTCTAAAAGAGGCATGGAAAGTGTTGGCAATGATGCTAAGAAGATGTATGTAATCAATACATGTTTCTATTCTCCAGCCCAGACTGCAGGATGCTCCGTTGGTGTACTGCCAGCGAAGCACTTGTCTGTCCGCTAGTGAAGTACGATGTTAAAAGCACCTGTGAAAGGTGGACACCTGAATGTCCAGCTTGGCCATGCAGGCTGCATCATCATGTTTTGAGAGAACTGGCTGAAAAAATGATCGTATCATAGAATCATGGAACGGCCTGGGTTGAAAAGAACCACAGAGATCATCTAGTTTCAATCCCCTGCTATGCGCAGGGTCACCAACCGCCAGACCGAGCTGCCCAGAGCCACATCCAGCCTGGCCTTGAATGCCTGCAGGGATGGGGCATCCACAGCCTCCTTGGGCAACCTGTTCCAGTGCCTCACCACCCTCTGGCTGAAAAACTTCCTCCTAATACCCAACCTAAACCTCCTCTGTCTCAGTCTAACACCATTCCCAAACGATGTGGCTATTTGGGCTGATACTGCTAAGTCTCCCAGAGCAGAGGAAAGCTCGGAAGGAAAGCAACATTGATGCGAAGAATGGCACTTGGGTGTTGTTTGCTGCAGCAAACTTCCTTGGTCCTTCACCTTCACCAGCCACAAATTCTCACAGATTTGGATGCAGACATGTTTGGTTATGGGATCATAGAATCATCCAGGTTGGAAAGGACCCCTCAGATCCCCAGGGCCAATCCCAGCCCACCCCACCATGCCCACTGCCCACGTCCCTCAGTGCCACATCCCCACAGCTCTGAGCACCTCCAGCTGACTGTCCCACCTCCCTGTGCAGCTGTGCAGTGCCTCGCTGCTCTTTCTGAGAAGGAACGTTTCCTAACGCCCAACCTGACCTCCCTCCCTCCCCTGGCACAAGGTGAGGCAGCCGCTTGTACCACGACCAGGCTGACGGCAGCGTGGAGGAACCCAGCCCGTCCTGGTCTGACTGCGATGCACTGCTGCACTGCAGATAAACCATGACCTGCACAAATCGCTCTCTGCCGTAAGTGGGCAAGACTGGAAACAGCCATCGCCGAGCCTAGGAGCAATGCCCCAGGTGGCACGCTTCTGCCCACGACAACCACCGCGGCCATCCAATGGCAGCTCTGGAGCCGAGCTGGGCCCGTCCCTCATTCCGGCGTCCCAGTTCTCGGGATTGGGGCACCCGCCGAGCTCGGCTCCTCTCCGCCAGCTCCGAGGCTCACCCCCGGGGGCTGCCGACTCCTCAGCCGCCGTCCTCAGCGCCCGCCCCGCGCCTGCGCCAACACGGCGGCCGGAAGCGGCGGGGCGGCAGGAACGCGGCGGGAGCCCGGCAGGAGCGGCGCAGGTAGCGGCGGGCTGGGCGCGCCGGGGGCGGGCGGCGGGCAGGACGTGCGGCGGCTGAGGCGCTGCTCCGGGCCGGGGGGGGGAAGCCGGGATGCGCGCCGGGAGCTGCCTCGTTGTAAGGCCGTAGCTGCCAGGTTGGCGCGCACGACAAAAAGAAGTTTAGCGCATTGAAGGAGCTGAAGTTACATGGCGGTGGTAGCCGGGGGTGCGGGCTGGCGCTGCCTGCCAGCGGCTTTGGGGCGTCCTCCGAACGCCGCCTCCTCTTAGCGGGCGGGTAGAAGCGTTTGGGTACGTCTGCAGGCAGCCCCGAAGCGGATTATTGCTGAGACAGCGCTGTGGCGTAATCCCGTCTGGACAGAACGCTTCGGAGGCAATCGGCACATCGGAACGTCTCCGCGCAGCTCCGGTGCCGTGCTGCCATCATCGGTTTTAACAAGCGTCTGCCGTAGTTTTAGTGGTTTTATGGGCTCAGCCCCCGCTTCGTGGTCCCGATCGGTGGGGATGGAGCAGCGTAGTGCAAAGGAAAAGAAATGTGAGGAGAAAGTGGGGTGGGACCCATTGCCCTCCCCTCTCGTGGGAGTTCTGCTGCGTGACAGTGCTGAGGTCGCCTTACTGCTCCGTGTTCCTTCCTTCTGTCCTCTAGTCTTACTGGCCTTACTCCTGTCTCGTTCTCAAAGCAAAAAGGGAAAATAAAGAGAAATACTGCTCTCAGCAGTCATCCGGAGGTGCGTTTGGTTCTAATTCCAGCTCTGTTTGAGCTGTGAAAGCTTACACTGCTTGGTAACCCTGTCAGTGAGGGTACAGTGTCAGGAGGGAAGGCTGTAGGTAACGTTGCGGCTGAGAAGGGCAGCTCTGTGCACTTCCTTCCCATCTTCCCGTTACCTCCTTTCATTGCCTCTCGATGTGAGTGCCTGCGTGGCTGGCCGGCTCCCTGCTGGCAGCGCTCGGCGCTGGGTGGAAGCGCAGTGAGCACAGGCTGTGTGTAAGCAGGAGCGGCAGGCCCGCCCAGCTGGGCACTGCTCGGATTCCAGGCTTTACAGCAGCTTCTGAAAGTGTGCCCGAGGCTGCGGTTCCTTGGACAGGTGAGCTGCCCTCCTGGCTTTGCTTTTCCTTATTCTTCTTGCTTGAAACTGGAAAATCTTGTTCTCCGCTCCCTCCGGTCCTGCTCGGTTTAGTGTAAGCTGTGCAGCGCTGTCTGCCTGCTTATTTCATCGTGGACCAGTATTCTCAGCCCCCTGGAGACCCACAAAAAGCAGTGTAGATGTTTTTAGTTTGTTTCCTGGCAAGCTCTACATTTGGGGCTGGACTGCGTAGGCATCAGAGTGCGAAGGGCTGGAAGTGCAGCATTGCAGAAGTATAAGCAATTTACCTGTAGTGATTATTACTAATAGTTGTTCCAGAGTCATTGCTGAAACTGGTGTTCAGAACAGTAGAAATGAGAAAAAATAAATAAGTCACATTTAGATAAAGAAAACAGGTGGTAAAACAATGGGAATCGAGTAAACAGGTAATTGCTCTGAATGGCTTTTGATTGGGATTTTGTTTGTAGAGCTGTTGGATACATCAGAATCTCTACTTGGAGTGAGGATATTAGCAGTAATTTATGTTGGAGGAATGCAAAGAATATTGCTGGGATCTAAACGTGTTGCACTAAGATGAAGAGCAGACTTTCTGCATGGAAACAAACATCAGCCTCCATGCTAATCGTATTATTTCTTAGTCTGTGGTGGTACAGCAGTTTGTAGATTTTATCCAGATATTTAGTGGGGAGTAAATGCTTTGCCTTGTGAAGTCCAAGAACTTTATGTAAGACTTGGTGGCAAAGTTTAATGGCAGGATTGCAGTGGTAAAATGTTTTTCTCCTGAGCTTCCAGAACTCCGTGTGCTTAGGTTGTAAATGACTTTTGCACTGTGGCCTCTGCCCTTCCTCCTGAACCTGTTCTGGAGTGCATATCACAGTGCTTGGATCTCCTTTCCTGGGATTATTCACTTTTGGGTCCTCTGTTAAAATTATTAGCTCTAAAACTTAACTGCTGTCCTTGTGGAGTTTATCTTTACGACTTCTCATAAAGAAGATAAATTGCCATTGATTATTGTTGGCTAGAAAAGATAGTGTAAGTAGGCTCCTATATCCAATGCTCCAGGTGGGTCCCCACAGTACAGTGCTGAAGTTAAATATTTACTTGTGCACAGGACTTTGGTCTTGTGAAACCCTTATGAACATCAGTTGCTGCAGCCAGGAGGGAAGTACTTTGCCAAAGATAATGACAAGGAAGAACTCTCACCCTCCAGACTGGAGCAGTCTGTGCTCCCCAGCAGCTAACTGTCACCAGGAGGCTCAGCCTCTAGTGCCTCCTTACGTCCAAATTAGATAGAAATTAATTAAAACACCATTTCCAGACGAGTGTGAAATAAGAATGTAAAAGGTGTTAGCTTTTTTGGTTTGTTTTTGCGTTGTGGTCTTAAAGCATCCGGTCGTATGCCAGTGTCCACTGTTGGTAGTCTCTTCTGCATGGTGTGAGCAGGTAGTTGGGTTCTACCTCCACTCATGGGGAAATAAGTCTGCCTTTGTCACGTCTGGTTGGCTTTCTAATCCAACTGTTGTTTATACTTAAACATACCTTTAGCTGGAAGAAACTCTGTGTGCCTATAAACCAGCTGTCAGGAGGCCCTGGCTCTTCCTTCCTTCC